TGATGTGTAGTATTAGTGTTAGCATATGTCAATTATAATAGTGATAGTAAAGCTCTAAAGTATCAATGATTATTATAAGTAGTAATAAATTTAGTAAATATAACATAGCATACACAGTACATCATTAACATACACATTACACTAACTACTAACACATCACACATCACAATCAACATACAGCACACACATCACGATCAACTACAACGTTAAACATAAGCATACACCTAACAACAACAACACTACAATCATATAATCAATTTAAATATATATATATAATATATATATAATATATAAATATAATATATAATATTAAATTAATAATATATTTATATATATATAATTAATTAATATATATTATATTATATATTATATAATGGATAGATTAGTAGATATAGAATGATAGTAATTTAAGTATATAGGTTTGGTATTTTGCACAAGTTACGAGTTATAGAGAAGATGAAATATTAAAAAAAGATAATTACAACGAAATTTTATGGTCATTTTCCTCTAAATAAAGACTCTTTAAAATAAGTATATGTGTATTGTTATACCAGTTAGTATTTACTTATATATATTATATATATATATATAGTACGTAAAATAAATAATTAAGATAATATACTTCCAGAATTAATAAACGGTAGGTACATATATGCCAGATGTTACATTATAATCATTATGATCAACATTTATACATTTAACAAGCGTCGTGCATTGATTATCTACACTTTAGCTTCGTACATTAGATCCAACATAATTTGGTGCCGTGTACAGCGAAAAAAAAACCACGATGACTCAGAGCGTGCCTCGACGCTTCTTTAATGTAGTCTCTCACAACGCTCTCCAAGCAACATCAGGATTCTATTCTATCAGTATAGTGCCTCCATGCAACCAGGGGGGTGGCAGGCATCAGTAAACAGTAGAGGTGTTGTGTTGTGTGCTGTGTGATTATATGGAAGAGAGTGTAGTAGGTATCGGAATGTGAAGTGGGAGGGGAGAGGGGGCGTAGTGGATGCGTGGTGCGCGTGTGGGGTTAGGCGTGTGTGAGTCATGAGTGTTATGCGCGTGAATGTGAGTCGGGGGGTGCATTGTGTGTTGTGTTGTTATGCGCATGAATGTGAGTGTGTGGTGAGGCCATACTGGGCGGCACCCAACAGGTGTTTTAGGTGTCAGTGAAAGTGGAATGAGGCATGGGTCAGGCTGTATCAGGTGCCTGGTGCGGGTGCACCTCGTCCAACAGGGTGCCACGTGTCGTTTTTACGTATTTCCTCGGTGTCGAAAAATTCGTTCTATCGCTTCCATAATCCCGTTTCACAATGGGAGAACAAAAAAAAAAAAAAAAGAACAACTAAAAAACAGCGATTATATTAAGAACGCGGGCGTGGCGAACGGGGCGTGACTAACAGACAGTAAGAAACGGGTGTGTGGGCGGTGCCAGCGAAAAAATCTGAACCCTCCCCTACCCCTCCCACCCTACCCCCCTACCCCCGCGGCCCCTTTTACATAGCAGTGCCTCGGGAGTGCCTAGCTGGCGTGCGTGTGGTCGGGGTACGTGCGAGCCTTGGCACTCTCGCACAGGCACAGAAACACGTACATGCTACACAGACTCACATGGGAATAGTCGAATACACGTGTGGGTAAATAGGTGTATTTGTGTGTTTCTATACACACGCGTAGGTGTACGTATACAGGATGACCCCTACATAGGAACGAGCACCCTTCTGCAAACTTACTGCACAACATACACACACACTCTTTACTCTCTCTTGTACTCCCTGTTCTTTCTCCTGACCTCTTCCGACCTCCCCCCGATCCTCTCTCGCGTACTCTCTCTGCACCTCGCATCTCTCTCTCTCTCTCTCATCAGTAGCATCTACTCTCCTTTCTCCCCTCCCTCCGCACCCCTCCTCTCGATGACAATCTCTACCATGTGCGCCCCACCATTCCCTCTCTCTCTCCCCCCCCCTTTGACTCTGATGAACAGTGAAGTGCGAGGAGAACTTCTGTCGAGCCCTTCCTTATCCACCTTTCCAAAAACCTCCCATTCCCTCTCTCTCTTCTCCCCCCCCCCCCTCTCTGCTCTCTCTCTTCTCCCCTCTCTCTCCCGATCTCCCCACTGGCCGGACTCGCACTCCCCTCTCTCTCTCTGCTCTCTCTGCATCGTTGCGGGCGGACTCCCTCACACTCCTCATCTACCTCTCTCTTCTTCCCCCTCTCTCTATCCCACTCTCTACATCGTACTCGGTCGCCTCCTCGCCTCCCCTCTCTCTCTCTCTCGTCACCTGACGGGAGAGAGACGCAGGAGGCCTCCCGTGCGGCCTCCCCTCCCTCGAGGCCTCCCCGTTCGCCGTCCCGTCCCTCCTCCCTCCGCCTCTCTCTTTCCCTCGCCGAGTCCCTGAAGCCGCAGTCCTCTCTCTCTCTCTCCTCTTCTCTCTCTTCACGCGGGGGATCCAAATGAGGAACCAAGCAGGATGCGACCGAGTTGCACACAAAGAACCACCTGGTCAGTAAGATAAATTATATTCTAATGAAAAGGGCCCATGAGATTATCAAAGCTCATGACTTTGTTATTATCGCCATTTTCCTTCGCTAACGAGGAAAAATGAGTTTCATTTATAGTTATGTATATATAAATACGTTTTCTTTTTTTTCTCTCATCATTTTGGACGTCGGGAAGGAAGTGTGTGTAGGAAATCTTGTGAAAGTGGAATTACTTGAAAATGTGAGTATTTTTCGTAGAGGAAGAGGGATAAAAAGGCTGAGAGAATGGTGGGGAATATTTTATTCTGCTTGAAGAAAATCATCAGAGGCACGGAGAGGAGAATGAAAAAAGAAAGGAATGAATAACCGATAACTGAAGTAAAG